TGCCTGCCTGCTCCCTGTCTATGAGTCTGTCTCTGTTTTGCTTGGTAGTTCCGTTTGGGGAACCTAGATTTTTACACATTGCTTTGCTTAAACAAGGCACACGTTTTTCAGGCTGGTCTGGAAACGGAAAAGCCACTTCATCGCGGGCTCTCTTCCTCCGTGCTGATCATCTGTCCGTCTTAAGCCCTCTTCTCTCCCCTAAAGCCTGCAGAACCTGGTTTTGGCCAAGCAGGCAAGTGGCGACCCGGTACCACCCACAGCGGCCTGGAGACAGCACCCCTCCCGGCCTGCGTGAGGGGGCCCAGCGGAGGCTGCAATCTGGGGGGGTGACCTGCGCCTCGGGGTCACATTACCTGCCAGGTACTCGATGACTGCTGCCATGTACACGGGAGCCCCCACGCTGATCCGGTACTTGAACGTCCCTTTCTTCAGGTAACGCATCAGTCTCCCCACGGGGAAGATGACACCGGCCCTGGCCGAACGGGACAGCTTGGACATTTTCTTCTTCCCGCTCCGGCCCGACATCTTGCCTCAGTTTCCCTCTCAGCTTGCAGTCACAGTGGTCTGTCTCCCGGCCCTAGCACAATGCTGAAAAGGAAAGAAACAGGGTGAGGAGGGGCGGCTGGCGAGCATCTTGGGAACAGCGCTGTGATCCTAGAGCGTGTGCGACATGCCTGAGAGTCCCGGGGGGACGGCCGAGGCCTGGCAGCCGGCGCGGGGTGCTGCAGGCAGGAAGCTGGGCATGGAGTCTTTGCAGGCCATCAGCAGGCCCACCCACAAGCCTCCCCCAGCCCTACCTCAACAGGCCAGGCCAAAGAAACTGCCATAGAGAGAGAAGCCGTGGTCTTTAGCCAGCTGGAGAATGGCTTCCCAAGGTGTCCGCTCCATCACCCCCAGAACCACTGTGAGTGTGTAACCTTATATGGCAAAAGGGACTTTGCAGATGTGATTAAACTGAGGATCCTGAGATGGGGAGGTTATCCTGGATTATCTGGGCAGGTCTAATGTCATTGCCAAAGGCCTTCAAGAGGGAGGCAGGAGATCAGCGTGAGTAGCCATGTGACCGAAGGACATGAACTCTCCCCTCAGAGCCTCCAGAGAGAACCAGGCCTGCCGACGCCTTCATTTTAGCCCAGTGTCACTGATTTTGGACTTCTGACCTCCAGACTGTGAGTGTAAGTCTGTCTTGTCTTAAGCCACTAAATTTGGGGGTAATTTGTTACAGCAGCAATAAGAAAACTACCACGATTCCGCTTTTCTCTGATTTGCTTCTGCCTGTTGTAATCCATGGTGCTTCATTATTGGCTTTGACCTACAGTTAATTTCTCAGACGGAAACACTTTTCTAAACTTCCAATAATTCTTAAACACAGAAACATGCCAGAAGAGGCAGTTTTGTTGAATATGCTAATGCACAGTAACTAAACAGCAAATTAAAAGTCAGAATGCTCCTTGGGATGGGGAATCCAGGATAATCTGGGGGAGAAACTCCAGAATCAGCACGAAGAGGCGGCTTTGATACAATGACCGAGAGACTTGTATTTCAGGAAGCTATCTTTTGTGTGAAGATAAAATAATTCTCTGCTTCTGAAAGAGTCTCTGTAAGGCTAAAACTAATTCAGAGAATTGTAACAGAGCTTAACTTGTTGGTTGAGGGAGTACTGTGACCAAAAAATGGAATATAATTCAGAATAAATAAGAGCAAATTGCAAAGGACAAGCAAGCAGGACCAAAGAAAAGGAACCAGAAAACTTCTAGGAAATGGGTTAATGAATCAAAGTCCTCTGCCCCAAAGGCAGTGTCATTCTCAGTGGCCATTTTTTGGGGGATGGAAATGAAAAAGTAAAAAGTAATCTGAAACTGGTTCTACCTGTTGAGGCAGCCATTTCAAATTTTGGCGAGGTCAGCTTACCAACAGCCAAGACGGCAATGAAAAGGCCTCAGAAAGCGGCTGAAAATAGGATGGAAGAAAGTGCTAAATGAATGCACGGCTACTGGGAAAGACACAAAAGTGGGATTTATTTAATCCGGGTGGAAGAATGAACAGAGAGTTCAATTTTCTAAAGTATCTGATTACTCTATTATGACTGAGGAGTTTTATACAAAACTATGGAATTAGCAGCAAACCTCATTTTCAACAGCCTTCTACCCCCGAGGTGAAGGATGCGAGTTTGAGGCATTTTATTATATACCTCAGATACATTAATTTTAAATGCTTATACGCACTTACTATGCTCCCATTTTATGTGTCATTCTGTCACCAAAAGATGTAGGTATTCATCAAAGTTAAGTACAAACAAAGACAAGCAAATGGCCTTAGAATATTATCTCTTTCACAGTAAGGCGCAGGGATAAAACAATATCACTGTTTTCAGAACTTCTATATTTCCCGTGCTTCTGATGCCCAAGGCTGCTAACTCTCATAGACTTACAGATGTTCCATCTCAGAGGAAGCAAGCACCTGCATATTAGGATTATAACCACTGATTTATGTTAAGGAAATTCAGGTCAGGCATCAGTAAATGTTCCGAGTACCTGTTGCTGGTCATCATTGTCCCAGGGGCCAGGGACACATAAAGCAATGTGAAATGGTCCTTGTGCGCAGAGAGAGCTACACGGCACATGTTTGCTAGCCGGCGGTGCTGTTCCAGTTGGAAGTGGCTCCTGGTATAGTGGAAACAGCCCAGGACTGGGAACAGGAACCCCAGGGCATGGTCCCACTTCTCTATAGCCAGCTATGTGTGAGCTCTGGGTGTCGCTGGTGGGGGCCTCATCTGTAAAACTGGACAGTGAAGATCTTGAAGGTCCTTCTGGTCTTAAACATTCCTTTTTTTTTCCAACTTTCAAATAGTCTTGGAAAAGAAGCTTAGTCCTTTTAAGAAATGAGTTCTAGAGTGCAAAGAGCCTGTGCATGTTCATAAAAAATGTATTAGTATTGGTGACTCCACTAAGCCAATTATGTGCTCTTTTCAGTTACTGGGAAGTGGAGGGAGGGGGAGGATTAGTAGGCTTGGTTGCCAAGGAAACCACCTAAAAAGCCCATCTCAGGGTGGACATGCCCTGTGGATACATGCAGGCTGCATGGTCACGTCTCTCCTACCAACAGAGAGAACCATGCACAGAGAACAAAGGCCGCAAGGGCAGGACCCTTCCTTTCCCCTCCATTTTTCTCAAATGAAAATAGCCAGAGAATGAGTAGGTGTGCAGGATGAAGCTACCTAGGGACTTCCCAATGCCGGTCAGGAGGTGTCACAAATTTCCCGAAAAACTGGAAGTTAGGACCAGCAGTAGAAGAAAAACAGGTGGCTTCAGGGGGTTATGCCTAAAACACTCTGAAGATTAAATAGTCAAGTAAGGAAAACCAGGCTTAGATCAAACAAACGTATCAGCTGAGTATTGCAAAATGTAAGGATCACCCCAAACACAGCATTTGTAACAAGACTTTTTTTGGCTCCCGGACTTCCCTCTATGTTAGGGCCTTAAGACAGAGCTGAAGATGCAGCTCCATTTGAAGTCCAAGTGTGGCACTAACTTGTATGTGCTTTAATACCTGGGGATCCCACCTATTCAGACATTGCGCTGAGTTTAAGGAGCCAGGAGCTTAACTCCTGGGCTCCAAGGGCTGCGAGGTCCCTGGACACTAAGAGCTGGACCTATCAAGGCTTCCCCAGGGAAGCGGGGAGGAGGCTGGGGGGAGCTTACATGTCCCGCCACCCACTGGAACCCACAGATGGAAGGAAGTGCTGTGCCTCCTTACCTCCCGGAACCCCTCGAGAGAAGACCCTGCTTTCTAAAGACCGCCCCAGCCCCCCAGCCCCCCAGCCTGTGCTGGACTCTGCCTGGCGTTGAAGAAATTAGAACCTCTGACTTCTTTCCCAGGCCACCCTTCCCCTTGACTCTATCTGTTCTTGAGGAGCCATGTGATAAAAACTTGAATGGGTATTTATTTACTTCCTGTGAATTTGAATCTGTGTAGGGCCACTCATCTAAAGAGAAGACTACTGCAATGTGAAATTTCTTTCCATCAGACGTTTCTTTCATTCCAAACAGTGATATTTAAATGTTTGCATTTATTTACCTTCTGCTCTGAGACAGATTTTACTCTAATTAAGCAAAGCTTAAGGACTCTAGTTCATTATGTTGGTTTACATATTTGAAAAACAGGGTGTTTGAGAGTGGTTATAGGCACTATACGGGCGCCCCCCGAGGCCGCGTGGCCATGCTTGGGTGGCCCCATTCTCCAGGCTGCTTTGGGGTTCTTAGGAGGAATAGGGAACAAGACCAGAAAAATACAACCTAGATCTGCAACCTAGCTGTCCTTTCATAGCTGAGAGACCGAGAATACTAAGGTATAAAGTCTCATAATTACTTGCAAAGCGAGTGGGAGAGTTTTAAGCTGTTAACAGTGGGGGAAAGGAAAATAAAACTCAAAATTCAGGGAAGAAAGGGGGAGAAGGCAGTGCTGACTGCTCATTCCCTCCCACCTCCAGGAGTGGAGCAGTGGGAAGGCCGGTTTGTGTGTCTGGGGAAGAAGACATACTCGAACTCCGTTCTTTTAGGATTTATTTCTATGATCTGGTTTTAAGCCCATAAAGACACCGATGAATTTGATTTTACAGCTATCACAAGGGTAAATGTTAAACTACAGCACTGACTCAGACATGGTCAATAAACTCACACCAGTCTATTCAAATAACTACTGTATTTTATTGATTTTACGATGCTCTTTTTTTTTTACATTTTACTATTTCTAGAAATCAGTGTGCATCTTGTAATCTATGACATCATAGATTCCATGAAAGTATTTATGGAGCATTTATTATTGAACAAGTAACTACATTAGGTATTGTAGAATATACATGACCCTTGTCCACAAATGTTTTCCAATAAAGTTTCATGACAGAACATAATACAATTTCAAATTGATGCGAGAGACATGGTTCCTAAAGTGTGTGCCAAGGCACCCTGGGACACGTCGGCGAGTGTTGAAGCTTTCAAATAAAACACAGTGATACTTTGCCTCTGCTGGACCTCACAACTACCAGCTCCTAGTGGTTTTATCAGTGGTTCATGGTAGTTTGCACGACCTTCCTTTGGATGATGCCATGTCTTGGCAATGCTGAGGTTTTGGCTGTCGCTCTGATTAAAGGCAAGTGTCAGGTGAAAATCAATGAGGAACAGAACATGAGAGTGGCAGTGTCCAATCTGAGCCGCAGGTTTGAGAAACTGTGCAGTGTCCAACAGGTGTGCATATCCTACTGTAATTCATTGTGGTTATTTAAGAATGGGCTATAAATACTCTTTTTTTTCTAATTGATGTGTTAATATTTTTTTGAACAGCTACTAAATTGTTAGGACATATAAACTTATTAACTTGTTTGGACCTAATCACTTAATAAACAAAACTAATAGGCATTTCTTCTGGCCTAGGAGCTCCCAGAAAAAATGACTCAGACACTTAGTTCTCTGTGGACTGAGAAAGCTGGGAAACTTCTTTGTTAGTGTCCACCACCATCAAACTAAAACATATAATTATGACTTGCTTAAGGTCACCCTGAAGCAAGGAAAACAAGTTAAGAAGTTATTTAAAAACTTGAGT